TGTATTTGCTCACTCCATACCAGTCATTTAGCTTCCCAGAAAATGGCAAGAATGGGCTTTTTAGAGAACAGAGAATGCCAGGAACATTTCTGCCTTAGGGCCTTTGCACGTTCTGCTCCACCTACATGTAAAGTTTTTCCTCTATCTATACGCATCGGTAGTCAAGTAATTTCCATCAATGTTCACGTGTTACTTTCTCAGTGAGAACTTTTTTGATTACCTTATTTAAATTGAAACTTTATTCTTTTCCTGGGATTCCTTATTGCCCCTTCACATAACTATTTTATTGCATTTCTCTGTTTTTTTCTTAATACTACTTGGTATTATTTGAAAATTTCTACTTATGTCCTTTTCTGTCTTTATTCTTGCACAAAAATCTAAACAACATGGAAGCAGGGACTTATTCTGTCTTGCTTAAGGTATATTCCCAATTCCCAGAAGACTGGTTGGCACATAATAGGTGCTCGAAAAAAATTTGTTGAAAGAATGAGTAGATGGCTAAATAGATGATTGAGGAAAGGGTAGAGAAGTTGAAGTGTGGCTATTACTTTTGACAGGAAATAAAGGAAAAATTTTGCATAACATAATGCCATAAACTAATTTACATGAAGCATTTCTTCCCATTTGTAGTACAAACTATGCTGATAAGTATTTGTAGGATGGCACCCAAAACACATGATGCTCAGGTTTATTTCCCCCCAAATATTCCTTGTAACTATTCTAACAAAAAACTATTTCCATCAAAAATGAACATCAACAGAGGGACAGACATTAGATAATTCCGTGGAGCAAAACACATTAAGGAAAAAACAAAGAGAAAGACCCAGGTCTGAACAAATACTCCTGTACTCACGTTCACACACAGGAACACTGTTATTCCAAAGGCTTCTCATTCCAGCCAGGACACAGTGACTCGTGGAACTGCCCTTTAAACGGAACCTGGAGGACAAAGGCAGTAGTGGCAGGGTGAGCTCGCCATTTCTCTCTTCCCTTTATTGACACATCTCAGCTTCCTAAAACGTCTAGTTTCTTGCCAGACCAAAGGCACCCTGAGTTGCCTTTGGGTTAAGGGTTTTTTTAACCTGCCAATGGTGTTGGAACACAGTACTAAGATCATTTACATTCTCATACAAGCTAGTGATGTTGTTTGAAATGTGAGCCTCAGTCTTTGTGCCCCCTCCAACAAAACCTAATACTATTTAAATAATATATAATTGGATTAAAAATATGTCTACATCCAAGAAAAATACTTCTACTCTTTCGTTTCTATTCTAAATCCCACTATTGAGTCGTTTACAAGTTTCATGAAAAAATGTCTGCATGTTATTCATCTTCTATACAACTTTCTTATGTATATAAAACTTTTCTTAGCAGCTCCCTAAAATACTTATCTCATCATGCCTACAAATTACTATTAACCCATACTTAATGATCCATGTATATATGCGAGATCTGTTGTTGTATTTCTGCTATTGTTATTGCTTTGTCCCTGGAAGCTGAACTTTTTCCAAAATGATTTCATTTCTGAGCCTGTAGCAGTGAGAAACCAAATGAGTTGAGCTTTTTCCTTTTTAAACATCTATTCATGGTTCCATTTGGTTCTTACTACACTTTCCAATAATTGTTTCAGGTATTAATCTCCTCTAGTACTTCTTTTTTCCTAGGCCAGTCGCCCTTTTGGACAGGTGACTGTATTTATGTTTGTATGTGACGTTGAGTTGTATGTAGCATTTCCTCTTTATCTTCTGATAGTGACGCCACTGAGTCCCTACCCTTGTTTAATAACTGCCCTTCTGGAAGTTAATATCTCTGGGTACTTCCTTTCCATGAGATCAGCCCCCTCTGGATTAGCCCCTGAACTCAAGAGAGCCACTCTGCAGTAGTGAGTCCCTGGTCTCTATTCTGGGTCACACTCACCCTTCATTGCAAATGAAGGACACCTTCGCCCCAGGCTGGAGATTAAGAGGAACTAGCACACGGCCATTAGGGAGTTGGTCCAGGAAGTCATCACAGGATTTCACTAGGAGGAAAAAACAAAACGAAGCAGGAATAAGATTTCCATGTGAGGGGAAAGAGAGTGGTCTGGAAACCCAACGAGAGTCTACATACCTACACATGTGGGGGCTCCCGGGCTCCAGTCCCCCTGGGGTGTACAGCGCAGAGAAGCAGCCCCCGTGAGGTCATAGCCAGGCTCACAACTGTAGAACACTTCCTGTCCAGGCGAAAAGTTGTCCTTGTCACTTGGGGTATGCTTACCATGTGAGATTTTTGGGGGTGGCTGACACACTGTGGAAAGAACAGTTCCAAAGTACTTGTTAGTTATGGGGGAGTTTCTTTTGCTATCCCCTATGCTTTCTGAAGTCCTCATAGCTAGGAAGAGGCAGAACAATAGAACCCAATTTTCCCAAGCACAAGGTCTCAAATTTACTGGCAAGTGTACAAGGCATGAGGTTTCTTTTCCTCGCCCTGGCTATCCAGTGTGGAGTTATCGGTATTGGTGGATTCTCCACTTACGTATTTCCTAGAAGAGCAGTCTCAATTTTCAGCCTCGTTGTTTAGGTAATGAAAACGTAAATTGAGCCCAAGCCTATTTAGTGGATTTCCCCTCATATCTCTTATCGTACTCCTGTGGCTGAAGGATAATCTTATGTCCATCTTTATCCCAGCTGCTCTGCCCTCTCAGTGGTTGTGCATGGCTGACATGCATGGGTTAGAGAAGAATTGTAAGCTCCTTCTCTGAACCTGCATGTCAACCACAACACCTACGAGTCCGCGCCATGCCAGCTAGCACAGCATAAGCAGACAAGGTAAGCCATCAAGAACGGAAGCCCTTAGTCAGCCGGTCCTTGTCATGAGGGGGCATATTATTTACAGTGTACTTGACTCAAGGCCTGCCTTCGTTTATAGCCCATTAGGTGCATACTTAGAGCATCATAAGCCATTTTAACATCAATCTAATCTATACCTCATTAAAGATGATTAAAAAAAATCTGTTTGGCTATGAGCAGCTTCCTTTCACTCTTGACTTCAGATTCCTAATTACAACATGTAGGAGGTGGACCATTATAGACAAACTCTAATGCCTTTGTCACCATTCTGATGCTATGACAGCTGTCTTCACAAGCCAGTCTCTTTCTTTCACCAATGGATACCGATAGAAGTATGGCAAGAACCAGAGTATTCAGACTCTGGGGTCTAACACAGGTGCCTTTTTAAATCCTGGGTGTGTCACTTAATAGAATACGACAATTCTATTGGACAGTTTGCTTAACCTCTGAGAGACCAAGCTAACTACACGGTAGCACTACTTCAAAGTGTTGTTGCAAAGAGTAAATAAGATAACGCATATAACATGCTTATCACACAGCTGACCATAAGAAAATTCCATATCGGTCTTCAATATAATTAAGATAAATTGCAGTTGATACTTTGCCCTGAGAATTGCTCATTGGTGAGTGTCATATATCTCCTTTCTTGGCCAATTAAGCTCTTGCTTATCAGAATGAAGACACATACACGTAGGTCCACACACCCCTCCAACCCCCTTAAATTCATGCTTCTTCCCCCCACATTTACTCCCCGACCCTGCTCACCACACATCCCTCCCTCGGAACAAACACTGACCTCCTGACCCTCCGACAACTCATGCAGCCTGTAGACCCTGCCCGGCCTCAGGCGGACTCACCCCTGGAGCAGCGGGGCAGCTCTGGCTCCCATTTGTTCAGGGCCTGGCACTGCACTCTGGCGGGTCCTTTCATGACAAAGCCGGGCTGACACCTCAACTCCACAACTTCATTTAAGGAAAACAAGCTTCTGTTGTCAGATACCATTATTCCATTTTCCACGTCTGGCGGCGTGC